AGAGTCATTCGCATCTATGTTATTGCTATGTCATTTGACAGCTGACAGTTCTAGCTTCATTCTAAAAAATAATTGAGCGATTTGGTTGAGTTTTGGAGATTTTACAACAAGTTGAAGATGGAAGACCAAACTATGCATTTTTGCATATTTTACTGTTTTACTTCCATAAAGGGAAGAACACATGTCAAGCTTGTGAAAAGTTGCATAAAGTTTATGGGACAATACTCTACAAGAACGTCAGTGCAAATGATGGTTCACAAAATTCTGTGCTGGTGATTTTGATCCCAACGACGCTCCTTGGTCAAGGAGGCCCACCAAGGTTGATGACGACAAAATAAAGGCATTGATGGAGTCAAACCCACATTACATGACACGAGAGATTGCAGACACATTGACCATCCATCATTCAAGCGTTCGCGACCACCTGAAGAAACTGGGATATGTAAGCAAGCTCGATATTTGGGTTCTGCATGAACTCAAAGAAATTCATTTGACGGCGCATATAAACATCTGCAGTATGCTCGTTAAACGTGAGGAAAACGATCCATTTTTTTTTTTTTTTAAAGATTTTTATTGGGCCTCACATGTGGGATCCGAACCGGGGCCCTCTGGCATCCCAAGCGAGTTCTTAACCATCGCGCCACTCGGCCGGCCCGAAAACGATCCATTTTTGAAGTGACTGATAACTGGTGATGAGAAGTGGATTGTTTACAACAGTGTGGTGCACAAACGGTCTTGGTCCCGACATGATGATTTGCCTCAAATGACATAGAAAGCAGACATTCATCAGAGGAAGGTTATGCTCTCAGTGTGGTGGGATTTTAAAGGTGTCATGTTTTTTGAGCTCCTACCAAGGAACCAATCAATCAATTCGAATGTATACTGTTGGCAATTGGAGAGTTTGAACGAATCCATCATCCAGAAACGTCCAGAGCTCGTTAATCATAAAGGAGTTGTGTTCCATCACGACAATGCGAGACCACACACAAGTTTGATCACCTGTCAAAAATTATTAGAGCTTGGATAGGATGTGTTGCCACACCCACCATACTCACCTGACCTTGCGCCGTCAGACTTCCACTTGTTTTGCTTTCTTCAAAACTCCTTGCGTGGTATAATGTTCAATTCAGATGAGGCTGTAAATCAGCACCTTGTTCAGTTTTTCACAAAAAAAAAGACAGGTCCTTCTATAAACGAGGAATTATGAAGCTCAATGAAAGATGGCAAAAGGTTATTGAACAAAACGGGCAGTATATTATTGATTGATCTTTGTTCTTTTTATAAATAAATGACCTTTGAAAAACATAGACAAAATACGTCATGACCTTTCCGACAACGCAGTAGATTTCATGAGTATGAGTAGATCTCAGAAAGATGTGAGGAGGGAGGGAAAAGGGGGGGATGCAGGGGTGCTCATGAGAGAGGCCTGCTCCTGCCCTGTAGTTTGGGCTCTGTGCCATTACCAGGTGCTCATTTCCGTGATGCTCCCATGGTTGCTTGGAATCAGTTCCTTTTCAGCTGATCTGTCATCTGTTGGCTCCTAGTTTGAATAATGTGTGGGTTTCTATAGTTTTATTTGTATTATCTTTCCATTTGAGGTGAAAGATACCATTTCCCTTGAATATTGTCTTTTTGACTTTCTCCCTAAGTATTTTATCCCTTCACACTGACTACCTTGTGTGTATTTGCTAAGAACAGCAGTACTCACTTAGGTGGTGACACAGCACAATTGTCAAGTTCAGGAAATTTAATATTGGCCATGATACTATCATGTAACACACAGATCTTATTAAAGTTTTGCCATTGTCCCAATAACATCTTTTTTTAGCGGGTTGTTTTGTTTTTGTTTTTTCTGGTACAGGAGCCAGTCCAGGATCACATGGCATTCCTGCAGCTTATTTTTTTCTTTTTTGGTCTTTTGTGATACAACATTGATGTATTTGAAGTGTACATTCCACTTACTTTTACAAAATGTCCCTCAATTTGAGTGTTTCTGATGTTTTTTCATGGTTAGATTCAGGTTACATTTTTGTCAGGCACACCAGAAAATTCTGATTTGTCCTATTTTTGTGATGTTAACTTTGATCCGTTGGTTAGGGAAGTTTCTGCCAGGTTTCTCCACTGTAAAGTTACTACTTTTCTCTTTGTTATTAATAGTAACTTATGAAGAAATACTTTTGTATTTGTGTGTAGATAACTATCCTATTTCCTCATCCATCCTTGTTTTCACATCCTCTGATTCTTGCATGATAAAGCAGTCATTACTGGAATGGTTGCTACATGGTGACTTTCTGATCCCGTGTTTTCCAAATTTATTAGCATTCTACTCTGAGAACAAGCTCTCCCTTTTCCTTTGTCTTCCTATCTTGTCAGTTAGTCATCAGGATGGACTCATGGGTTTTACTTTTCTGTTGGTTATGATCTATCACTATTTTTATTTATTTCACTCAAATTGTCCATATTTGGCCAGTGGAACCAACTTACCTTTTCTTGATGACCGGAAGATGGCCTTGGATTTTACTCCTACTTCCGGGATGCAAGAGCCCCAAGTCCTGGTGTATAAATGAGTATCCCTGGCTTGCAGTTGGGTTTGCATCTTTCTTTGTGTTGCTCAATGTCTGGTTTGTCTTTCCTCCTGGTTAAATGCTGTTTTCTTTCTCTGGAAGACGTCTGTTCCTGAGATAAGATGGAAGGAGCCCCAGGACAAAGTAGTTTGTGTTTCGAACACCTTGATCACTTCTTTACTGTCAGATGGTGGTTATATACTGTATCTGAGCACACTGGAAGAGCTGAAATGTTACGATTACCTCAGTTTTGCTTAAAACTATATTCAAACCTTTTTCCTATTTGGTATTTTGTTCTGCGTATTTTTAAGTGTTCCAAACTAGATAAATTTTTGGTATTAATAGTTAGATATTAAATTTTACTTATATTCTTAGATAGGAAGCGTGGAAATAAATTACAACAGAATTTTACCTTCGGTAGGAGCTGTCACAGGAGCTCAAAAGTGCCGGTGAAGACTTTTGTGGCCGTTATTTCAAGAACAGCGAATGTTGGACAACAAAAAATGAAAACTTAGCTTGCGACAGTGGTTTACAGGTGTTTCCCTCTTTATATGTGAGTATCTATCTTACCGTGTTAAAACTACTTTACTTCCAGTGAATACAAGTATTAACTTAAATTCTGTCTTACCAAAATTTTAATAAAGGTGCTTAATTTGTTAATTTTTAGCTTAGTTCTTTTGTGAGTATGGTAGTACATCGTAAGATGTTGGTGCCGTTGTTCCATTTTTCTGTACCCTTTGCAGCAACACCCTTGAAAGAGGGTCCTTTTGTCATCCTCTCACAATCTGCTATCACTCCATGTCTTGTTCTCTCTTCTCTCCACTCCACTCAGACCTGCCCGCATCTTCCCATCACACAGCGCTCATCATTGCTACCAGTAGCCATGCTGTTCAACCTCTCAGGACAGTCTGTCTGCATTCTTGACTTACCAGCATTTCCCACACTTGAACTCTCCTTCTTGCTTGCTCCCTTCCAGCATGGAAGACCAGATTATAGAATGTTCCCAGCAACCATCCCTGGGTAGTGAGGCTATGGTTCATTTTAACTTAGAGTTTTGTTGTTCTGAAAATTCTGAAATGAAAATATGTCTTTAGTAAAAACTTTAAAGGGGTTGCTTAAAAATTTTGTGAAGTGTAATAAACATACAGTAAGGTGTGTGTATCAGAAGTATATGGCTTGATGTATTTTCAAAACATGACATGCCAGTGTAGACCCAGATCAAGTACAGAATATTTTAACACCTGGAGCCCCCTTTAGTTCCTATACCCTCCCCACCAATGGTAACCACTCTCCTGATTTAGGGAGTGATTTTTCAAAAGCAGTATTTTGTTACTCATGTTTGAGCTACAGTGAAATTTGTTCTCTTGTGTTCAGCTTTCAGATTTTACTTTTTTCACAACACATTTTTTTCTTAATTGTTAAAACTATTTATCGCCTTAGAAATGCAGTAATATAAAATGGAATTATTTTATTCTTTTTTCCAGACTAAAGAACTAATTACAAATAACAGAAATGCTTCAAACCAGGAAGGATCAATGGTAAGTTATTTTATTTGTCTCCTAATCAAATATATACAAGTTACAATAAGACTAAAAGGAGTCTGCTGATGGATAAATATTTGGAGAGTGAAATAAAGCAGGATTATTAGAACTGGGAAAGAAAAGAGAAGCCTTATTTGAAACGGCCTATTTCCTTACACACATCTCTATGAATTTTGTGGATACTGTTTCTGTCTTTGTTTAAAAATCTCTTTAAAGTGACAGTTGAAGGTGAACTTGTATGCAGCCTTTCTTTTATTTGGGAGAATTACTGAAAGTCAGGAGAGTAGGAGGCCGAGAGGGCCAGGAGTTGTGTAGGGACTGGGTGCGTCTAGCAGAGTGCAGCGCCAGCTTTCCTTCTGTGACTTCGCGCATCTTGTTTTCTTCCACCATCATATGGAGCGCTGTGACAGTGGGGAGCCATTTGCTCTGCAGTGGTGGGACAAGCTCTTTGCTTTGCACAAACTTTGACAGGCGGAGAGGGAGGAAGTGAAAGGGAAGGGCAGGGAATATTCAGGAAGGAGTGTGAGAAGTTTGGTCCAGGTACGTGGGGCACTGGAGGCATCATCGGGCATGACAGCAGCCGTTGTGGTCCTAGGGGGCCTGCCAGTAGCATAGCAATGTGAAGCATCTAGACCAGCGGCTCTCAACCTTCCTAATGCCGCGACCCCTTAATACAGCTCCTCATGTTGTGGTGACCCCCGACCATAAAAGTATTTTCGTTGCTACTTGTTGGGAGCCGCTGGATGTCTGGGGCACTCTGTCTTAGAGCTTTAAAAGAATTGAGATTGGAAGTGACCAGCTTAATCTAGATGGGCTAATTATCATTTAATGTCTCAATGCTATTTGGTTAATTAGAAAATAGTTTACAGAAGTCAGGACTGGCCTTTTTTGTGGAGAGCTGGAGGTCTGCAGTAAGGGTCAAGCCTGGCTGCTAACAAGCTGGCAGGCTCTCAGGCCCAGGTGAGCAGCGTGGGAAGGTTGCTGGATAGATCTCATTCTCCACTGTGCTGCTGCAAGCCTACGTCACAAACAACCTTGAAAGTTACAGAGTGAAATGCCAATCTGTTAGCGGTTTCTACTTGCTGTACTTTGTCTCACTTTGGGAACATTTGCTTCCCCACTCCCTCAAACTCCGCCCCTTACTAGCAAAAATTATAACCGCCATCCCTTAGGAGATAAGCAACCTTAGCCTAAAGCAAGTGTGTGTAACCAGTATATAAGAAAAACGCTGTGCCTTGAATAAAGACTTCCCTCTTTTTCTCACAAGTGAAAAACTCTGTCTCAGTCTCTCTCTCTCTCTCTCTCTCTCTCTCTCTCGCTCTCGCTCTCGCTCTCGCTCTCGCTCTCGCTCTCGCTTTCGCTCTCGCTCTCGCTCTCTTGCTGACTCACGTCTCCACCTGAGGGAACCCCTGGACCTGTGGGAGCTGGTCTCCCGCAGCTACTCTATAACTGTAATTTTGCCACTATGAATCATAATGTAAATATCTTTTTGTTTTCCGATGGTCTTAGGCGACCCCTGTGAAAGGGCCGTTCAACCCCCAAAGGGGTTGCGACCCACAGGTCGAGAACCACTGATTTAGACAATTCAGCCCACATAACATGTGAGTCATTTCTCAAAGTGCCGTCCGACTCCCCCTCCCACAGTTCAATTAAAAATACACATTTGAAACTGAATGCTTAATGAGATTGGAGAAAACATTGGAAGACTAATAGGAGAAAATCAATTTGAATGGCAATATTCAATAAAACACAGAATGGGAACATGAGGGGGAAAACCTGTAGAAATAAGAAAAGTAGAAAACATTGAAGAGTGGGAAAGGCTTTTTTCTCTCTCCGTCCCTTTGGGTCTGCAAGGATGGCGGCAAAAAAAATGGGGTCCTTCCTGTCTACTGTTACAGCCCCTTCTTCCTTTTATTTGTGTTCTCTGTTTGTGTTTTTTAAAAGTAACCTAATTCAGTTATTAAAGGTTATTTACAATGTAGTGAACAGTTGTTTAACTACAGGTATAACTTATAGAGCCATTTTAAAAAATAACAATAAAGGTTATTTTGTGTGTTTCAGGATGTTGTCGCAAGAACACAGAGAGATGGGTTTCACATCTTCATTGTTTCGATTAAAACGGACAAAACAGATGCAAAGTGGAATTTGAATGGTATGTTTACTGTCTGTTTTTACTATACTCACTATTTTTGTCATTGACCCAAATCCACATTCTCTGTTAAAACACATTGTACAGAAATGAATTTCTGTTAATCACAAAAATGAATTATCTGTTTACTTGGGGGACTTTAAACTTCTTAATTAAGATAAATTTAAAAATTTATCTTACTTCATACTGGAATAAAAAATTCTCCATCCTTCTAAATTAAAATTTTTTAAAGCATAGAAATGGGCAGGCAGCATCTTTTTTTTTTTTTTTTTAAGTTTTTTTTGGGGAATTGGGGGAGGGGAACAGCACTGGGGAATTGGGGAAGGGGAACAGACAAGTTGCTGTCCTTTTGTTCTTCAGCCTAGTTGTGGAGGACGTCGCTTCACTGGCCCATGTTGATATTGTGATCATTGTGCTCTTCCTGGATGAGGCAGTCGCTCGCCGGCCATTGGATGGCTGCTTATGGTGGCTCACGGCAGCCCCACTGCAGTCTACGCCGTCACCGGCGACTCATGGAAGTCCAGGTCGAGCTGTTGTTCACCATTTTAGCTGTAGAGAGCACAGCGTCACTGGCCCATGTGGGATCTGAACTGGCAGCCCTGTTGTTCAGAGCTCGTGCTCTTACCAACTGAGCCACTCGGCCGGCTTGGGCAGACAGCATCTTAATTGTATTTGAAGTAGATTATATTCTGTTTCTTGAACATGGCCATCATTAGGGGTTGAAAATTACTGTTTTTGAAGTTTTTTTTAAGCATCACTGTAGCCTAGGAGTACAAGTAGTGTGTCTGGCAACCGAGGTTCTGTGGTCTGTGAGCTCCCACACTGGGTGGACCTTCTGTGTCCAGGGCAAGAGTGGGTTCCCAGTACGCTGTTTTCAAGGGCACACATGCTGTCATGTGTCTCCAAATTGCTGTGGCTGTCATTTTCTAGAACAAGCATCTGCTAGGCTGACAATAGCCAGAGCTACCAAGGATTTATACACTGCTGATTTGCACACATCCAGTGGGGACACACGGAGCTGGTGTCCCATGGGGGCCTGGTGTCCCGTTGGGGGCTGGTGGAGGTGGCTGCTCCAAAGGGGGTGACATCTGGGCCAGGCCATGCCACCCAGAGGGAGCAGGGACCTTCAGGCCCTTTTGCTCCTCATTGGTGCCCCCTCCTCCCGGCGGTACCTTCCTCAACTCCAGCCAACAGGGCTGAGCCCCTGCAGTTAGCAACTGGAGCCGTTGCTGAGGCCGATGAGTCCTGCACTGGACACTGTTTATTATCGCTGTCTCAGACAGCAACCTGACGAGAAGCTTCAGTTCAGGCACTTACCCCAGTTACATGGAAAGCCAAGTCCTCAGGAGATCGGTGACTCAGCAGGGGCCATGCCACGGCCAGTGTGACTCTGCTTTCTGTGCGAGGTCAGACTGGCCCAGGTTTTATAACCGTGTGTACACTAGTAAAGTCATCTTGATAAGATCGCATGATCAAACAGCTAGAAAGTACCCAGCACCTGTGTGTGTGCGTGTGTGCATCTGTACGCGTGCACACTAAACACATGTATCATTTGTTAGCCTGCTTTGTATCCTGGAGCCTTCAGTGAAATGAGCTTGCATTTAAAGCTTAAGAGAAAGCTGATTGATTGTTAATTTAACTCTTCAATTTCTTTGTCCCCATGCTCACTTTCACCAGTTTCCCTTTCTATGATGGGGCCAAAAGGATATCTCTCTGCCTCAGATTGGCCTCTCATGATTGTGAGTATGTCTATCATTTTTTAAGAATGAATTTTGTGTCCTAATTAGAATATTTTAAATTTTAAAAGCTCGGGGTGGTGATCCCTTAGCAGCTGGTGCTCTGACGTGCCCTCTTTCTGGTTCTGGAGTGACTGGAAAATCAGGGGTTGTCACTTGAATGTGGAAATGCTGATCTTCACACAGAAAGGCTTCCCTGACTGTAGTTGCTTCTCCCTGCAGTTTTACATGGTGATGTGCATTGTTTACATTTTGTATGGCGTGCTTTGGCTGACGTGGTCTGCCTGCTACTGGAAAGACATATTAAGAATCCAGTTCTGGATCGCAGCTGTTATTTTCCTGGGAATGCTTGAAAAAGCAGTTTTCTATACCGAATACCAAAACATCAACAGCACTGGACTGTCAAGTAAGTTGTGACTGTCCCCATAAACACGCTGTGACCTACAGGGCCCTGGAGACAGCCACGTTGCAGAGGAAGTGGAGGGGACACGGAGAGACTGGGAGTGGACTGTGGTCCAGGCTAGCATGCACCTTGTCCCCATTCTCTGTTCTTCTCGCTGGCACTCGCTCCCTTTCCTCCCGGGGAGAAGAAAGATCCCATTCCTTAAGGTCTAGCTCCCCATAGTTGGATGAAGACGACACGGAGCTCAGGATGGCAGCTTTGGGTGTCACCAATTCTGTAACACATTTATGTTTCTCCCCCATCGCCCTCCCTTCTCCTTCCCCTCCAAAAAAAGAAGAAATTTGGCCTCAGGGAGTAGAATGTGTACGGCCCACACCCTCCTTGCATTCTCCTGCCTCTTTCTCATGCCCAGAACTTCTGTGACCGTCCCTGCAAAGCGGGAGGCCATGTGGTTGGGCATCGCAGTGTGTGCCCCAGACTTGTAGAAGGCCAGAGAAGGCAGGGACAGTGAACTCTGTTGTGGAACCTTGGAAGGGAGAGAACTCAGAGGGCTGGACGCACCCAGGCATGAGCTCCTGAGGGGCAGTTACCATGATCTTGGTGCCAATATCCCATGGGCATGTGTCCGCTATTCATTTTGAAGTAACTCCAGGGAAAGAGTGCATCGGAACCCAGATGAAACAGATTTGGCTAATACTGATAATTACTGAAGCTGAGTGACGGGTATGTGGGAATTTATTTACTGCTTCTCTGTGTTGGGGAGTGTTTCTAATTTCCCCAAATCAAAAGTCTAAAAGGACTCGTACAAAAAAATAAGGACAGACATCAAGGGAGTTACCTGAGCGATGTCATTCTCTATAAGGAGTATAGTGATGGTTTTGTGTGTGCTGTAAGCACAAGGTAGGAAGGACAGAATGCTGCTGATGACTGAGGAAGGATGTGTTCTCAGATTCCGGAGTGGCCGTCCAGCCCTGTGGCTGTTAGAGCAGTCACCTCTTATCTGAGAGATGGGGGAGGGACAGTGGTGTTAGGACCCACAGGGGGCACTCCGAGAGGGCAGCCAGTGCTGTCCTTGGGGACTCTAAGCCCTGTGTCTGAGATGACAGGAGAGAGCCCCCGGGCCGCTGTCAGTGTCGGAGGAGCCCTGAGGAAGAGGCAGGGTGCCGGGAGCCTGGCGGGCCGATTTGTGACTTCCCAGCTGGAGCTCTGTGACCCTGGCTGTCTTACTGATCATTGAACCTGGAAGGACAGAGTTCAGAAACCCCCTAAGTGGAGGGGACAGCGTTGTCAGGGCCCACTGGGGTGCACGTTAATAACAGGTCGTGCCAAGTCAGCTTCTTCCCGTGGTGCTTCTAGATTGGCAGTGGGAAAACGTGGTAACTGAGTGTGTCTGACGTCCTCGAGCTGTTTGCCGAGGTGTCTCGTGATTCTCCTGCATAAGATGGAGGCATGTGAGTGAGAACGATGGGGTGGGGTGGCCCGGTGCCCGAGTATCTCCCCAGCCTTGTCCGTCCTCACTGCCAGCACTCAGCAGCTTCTCCCCTGAGTGAACCTCATGGCAGTCCAGTGGCCCTCGAGCCCTCAGGCAGAGCAGTCGTGATAGATCGAAACTGTCCGTATGTCCAGGTCCAGCACACTTTTTCCTCAAAGGCCATGTAGTAGATATTTCTGGCTTCACGGGCCTCATGGTCTCTGCTATGACCACTCAGCTCAGCCACAGGGGACAAGTGGGTCGTGTGCCAATAAAACTTCATTTACAAAAGCAGGCGCAGAGCCAGATTTCTTTTTTACTGCCTTGTGTACTGTCACTGCCCTTGGCCTCAAGCCCAGACGCAGAGCGTGGTCTAAAACCCTGTGTGATGGCCCCTTGTCCCAGCCTCTGTTCCCTGCCGACGTTCCACGCCTCCACTTCTTGGAGCACACTGTGGCTTTGCCTCCTGCCCCTACGTGTGCATTTCCTTTGCTTTCCCGTCCCTCTCCAGGTCCCTCCCCAGGTAGCGCACTCCTGCCTCACCTTCAGGTCCTGACTTAGGTGTCACCCCCTCCGAGAAGTTTTTCTGGAGCTCCTGTGCCTCCCCATGTGTGGATTAGCTTGGCTGCCTTCACATGCCTGGGAGGCACTCTGTCACCTCTGGCACTTTCCAGGCTGGGTTCCATCGGTTGACTTGTCCTAACCAGAGTCCAGAGGTGGGGACCGTGGTGTCTGTGTTACTATTACAGCCATGCAGAAGCACCAGAGAATAAAAGATGAGGACATCCGTGGGGTCCAGATGTTTACAGGACAGGAGGAAGCTGTGGTGCTTGTCATCTGAGTGGGAAGGATGAGCACGGGGAGTGGAGGCAGGGACACAGGCCTCGGGCCGACATGCAGAGCTCTGAGTCCCCTTCACTGAGCTTTTCAGCGTCACTTGGACTAGGTGCCCTTTCAGTCCACCTGAGTCAGGTGTCACTGTCCGTTGTACGTGTTTACCGTTGGTGGCCAGCCCAGGTGGCACACCACAAGCTGTTTTCTCTCTTCCCCGCAGCCCAGGGTCTGTTGATATTTGCAGAGCTGACATCTGCGGTGAAGAGAACGCTGGCTCGCCTCCTGGTCATCATCGTGAGCCTGGGCTACGGCATTGTGAAGTAAGTCCCACTGGGCTGGAAAGGCGCCGTGTCCCCTCCTGTGGGCTCCGTGCAGCAGGACACTTGTCAGTGTCATCGTACAGACCTGTAGGGAGGTGTCTGCAAGGACGTGCTCCTAAAGGCTGTCCACACACGTGGTGACTTCACACTCAGGGTTCCGAATTGGAATCCCAGTAGCTTCTCATAGTTCGGTGAATAAAGAGTCAGCTTTGGGGAGGAGGGCAATAGAGGGGGAGAATGGGGTTGTTACTTTGTGAGGGTGAAAAGGATAACTATTGCATTGTTCTGTACACCTGAAACTAACAATAAAAAAAAAAAAAAGGGTCAGCTTTAAGGGCATGAAGAATTGTAAATGATCCTGGAAATTCAAGCCATTTTCTGTTTCCTGAACAGTGTAGTTATGCTTTTATGACTGTATCTGGGCATTGGCAAGATTTCTGAGTGAAACCCTGTCCCATCAGCACCATTTCTTCCCACCCTCTCGTCCCTGTGCATCGCTTGTCCTCATCCCATCACCCATTTCTCTTCCCTAAAACCCTGACTCCCCCGGGCTCGGCCTTCAGCCTGGACCCCCCTCTCCAGCTTCTCCCTGCAGCCCCGTCACCACCCAGCTCTCTCCCCTCATCCCTTAACTTGCTTTGCTTTGGGGTGGGGGGCTTGGGACCACATGCAGGACACAGATCTTCACGCGGCATCTCGTGGACCTCACCACAGCCAAGTGTGGGGTGCGCCGCTGTTAGGGAGCAGAAGTGAGCCAGTGTGCAGGGAACAAGGCCTGTGGTTGCGTCCCCACTGTCAGCCTGTTGTGGCAGCTGTCATGGAGGGAGGGCTCTAACACCTCTACTGGTAACTAAATGGGTGACAATTCAGATGAACTAAATGAGATCACTAGTCTTAAATATGACCTGTGGGTATTAATTTAATTTTTGCTTAGATTTTGTTTTAAAATGATGGTTTTAAGTATCTTTTTAAAACCATTTTTTCTTCTAATTAACTCTAAGAAGAGGGTCTTGAAATAAAATGTACATGCGATAAACTGACTTGTAGATGTCACAAAATTTCAATTCTGTCACATTAACTATAGAAATTACTATCTTTGCTTTTCCCAGCTCATTCATATTTTTAAAGAATGCAAGTGGTATTTTAATTCTTTTCAATGGAAACTGAAATCTGGTTTCAGGTCTTGAGAGAAGGAAGGTCGTGGGATTCGGTCTCCTAACGTCCCGCTTTTTCTCTGCCCAAAATGTAAATCAGTGGGTCACCTCCAACAAGTGCACCTCAGAACGGGTTTAACTAATGTTAGTGAAGGGTTACATTATTTCTGCCGGTGACACTCAGAAGTTGGCAAGAAGTTGGCACTCACTTTCCCGGGCCTCAGCCTCTGCAACTGGACCTGGGCTGTAGGATAAGTGGGTCACAGGCTGCATTCCAGCAGAAAACCCTCTGCTGCTTCCAGTTCCAGAAAAGGAGACCCATTTTCCTGAGCCCGTTGCTGCGTTGTTCCTGGGAAATAAGCTTGTTCCTAACACAGCAGCCCAGGTTGGAGCAGGCTGGTTCGATGGGTGGCGACTTTCTGGGGTTGGAAGTGGGGCCAGTGACTGTCCAGGTGTACCTGACTTACCTGCCCTTCCTCTCTCCATCTGCCCTCCCCACTCCAGGCCTCGCTTGGGGACAGTCATGCACCGGGTGATCGGACTGGGGCTCCTCTACTTTATCTTCGCAGCGGTCGAAGGCGTGATGAGAGTCGTTGGGGTAAAATCTGCGTAATTCCACTTCCATCTCTTTGTCATTGCTATGAAATAGGATTTGACTTTATAGCCTCTGAGATGAATTTGTGAAGATAGGAAGTTTATGAAAAAGGCCCAGTTTTATTTCCTATGGAATATTTTCCTTTTTAAGACTTCCTGGAAGTAAAAGGCAAGCCAGAGCACTTCCTGAAGTGACATGACTGCCTGATGGCAGCTGCCCCCAGAGATGTCCACAGTCACCCCCAGGAAGGTTTGCATGTCATTTTGCAGTGTGCACATGCCCATTTCTTCCACATATGCCAAGTGAAGACGGTGTACCCTTCACGCATGGAGACCTTGCGTCTCGCTCTTGAGTCTCATTTGGCCATGAGTTGTCTCTGACTCTGAGCGCAGTATTGTGGGGATTCAGCAGAGCCCACTCCCAGAAGGACCCGAGCAGGTGGTGTCAGGGGGTAACGGTGGGAGGGGATGGGGGTGGCAGGTGCCTTGGACAAGAGTCAGCATATTTACATCTGCGAAGACCCTCAGGGCTCTAGCTCGTATTTTTTCCCAATTATGTGGTTGACGAGCGAGTGATTCACAAGCTTATTGAACTTCACTTGATTCTAAGAATCATGTTATTTTCACCTACAGTGTCTTGGCTGACATGTATAGCTCAGGTCACTGCACAGAGGCATGTGTACGTGCCTCACATCACATGTTCGCTCTGACCCTGAAAGCAGGGCACTCGTCCAGTCCTGTTAAAAAGCCTCGTGCTCCTTCCTGTTGTCTCTAGCCTGCATTCTGTGTTAGATATACCTGCTCCTTCATCCATGACTCGTGAGGGGTGTTTATTTTCACGATTACATAATGAAGAACTCTGCATTTGTATGTAACTCACAGGAAACTCATCTCTCCTAGAAAGAAAACAGAAAAGATAAATATTCCACATACACAAATATTGTATACATCGTATTTCCTTAAAATCTGACAGTCAGCTTGGCACCTGGAACTGCTTTACATATGCCCTCTGTCAGCTCCCAATCAGAGTGAGTGGCTGGCCTACGGTTTGCTTGTCCCTTGCACTCAGTTCCTTGTCCTTATTTTACTTTTTACAAATCTTTCATGCCCAGCAGGAAAGAGGAAGGTCCGTCTCACTAGTAGCCGTGACCGTGGATTGGGTGTGGAGAGGGGAGGTTGACACGGTTGCCCAGGGGGACTGGGGGCGTGGTGCTTGTTACTCACCATTCCAGAGTTCAGTCTCGTGCTCAGGTTGCTAGGTGAGCACCTGTTGCTGACCAAACCAGTTGTTTCCTTGTGCTTAACCACAGTGCTGTTGGTGGGTAAAATCCTGTGTATGGCCTTTGCACACTGATGCTTTGAGCTAAACTGTTTTTTCATATCAGATGAGAGAGTTCCTAGAATATAATGAAACTTAACTGTCAGGGTTTTATTCCTGTTTTATCTTCCAGGGCTCTAGCCACTTAGCTGTTGTTTTTGGTGACATTATTTTAGCAGTTATCGACTCCATTTTTGTATGGTTCATATCCTTTACTGTGTCCTTCTAAAACAGTTTGGTATGTCATAAAATCATCTTTTCTTTTAATTTGTAATGATCACAGAAAGAAATACAGTTTTGCATTATTGTTACCTCCACATAGGAAGTTGGTTGAAGGTGAAAAAGTAACAACTCCCCAGACAAACAGTGTCCTTTTTTGCTATTTAGTTCTGCCAACTTAAGTACTCACTGTGTGCCCACACTGAGGAGGTGTGGGAGTAAAAGACATCCCTGCATTTAAGGAACCCATGCTGTGGTAGAGGAGACACACGCAGCTGGAAGGGATATAGCAACAGTCTCTGCCATCTCAGAGAGGTGGTAACGCAAACAGGAGGGAAGGTGTTCTAGCATCAAGTCAGGAAAGATTTCAGAGACGGTGACGTTTAAATCAAGACTGGGAGGACAAAATGGGGGTTAGATAGAAAGAGAAGTGAGAATCGGGAAACAGGCATTCTGGGAAGAATGGAAAGGGACACGTAGTGGGAAGCATGAAAATAGAGGGACAGTGGCAGAGTGTCCCAGAGTAGCTGCCTGTAGGTGAAGGTGTGTGAGAGCCGCAGCAGGCGGGGCCCGACTGAGAGAGAGTGACTTGTCCACAAGGAAGCAGCTGTGGAGGCTTTCTGAATCCCTCGTGGGTGATTTTTTTCTGAGCCCAGCCTACCTGTTCTTTAAATTCCGTTTGTGAATTCTCTTAATGCTTCCAAGTTAAAACAACCCTTTAATGTATCATCCTCCTTCTTCAAAGCAGTGGTTGTCATCCTTGCTTGGGAGCTGGGATCAGAGATGCCCCCGAAAATGTCAGGAAGCCTGGAGCCTGTCTTCACAGGTTACAGACTGCGCCCCACATAGGCGCTTGCCTACAGTGGGGCATGTAAGAGTCTCCTGGATCTGTCATGGGGCCCCAGTCCAGTTAAGAAATAATGCCTAATTTAAAGAATTGTTTCTGACCAAACTTGCTTAAAAGTCTTAAAAACATCTGCTTCTGTTCAGCTACTGGTTTAGAGTCCAGTTTATTGAATAAATTTGTAGTTTCCCAGAGAGTGCTGTGAACATCTTCCTCTAGTACTTGTCATAGTGCCTGTATGAAAACACACCTGACGACATTCAGTTGTTAACAAGGAGAAGTGCATACCTCAGCTGTGCATACGAGCTGTGTTCCAGCGCAGGGCGCAGGTCCAGCTCCGAGGGGCAGCCCTGTGGGGAGGCTCCCCGCCCTGGGACAGGGACAGGAGCAGGCAGTATGGGCACACCTGGAATGGGGGCAGCTCTGCAGGGGGAGCTGAGTGTTCGGGTAAGGACCCTGCTTCCTTTGCTTTTGTGAATTACTGAGCTGATTCTATATGAAGCTAGCTCTAAAGTAAAAGCAAAATAGCCTGAAAACTTCAGAGCCACAGCCTTTCTCATGAAACCCTCCCCGCTCTTTTTCTGTTTGTTTTATTTTTTTTGCTGTTTTGCTGCAGGCTAATGACTCTGACCTTGAGCTTGTGGCCAGCCTCCCCCTGTCTCTTCTTGACTCTGGCTTGTGCTGGTGGATATCCTTTCCTGGGGCAGCTGGGTCCTGTGCTTCTCACCTGGGATGATGGGCCGTGTGCTTTCCTCCCGACTTCCTCTCTCACCAGAAGTGGGTTAAGCTCTCCCTAACTTTCCCTACCTTGGTAAGTGCAGGCTTAGACGCTTTTGAATTTGCATTTGATCCTTTTATTCCTTGGTTTTTAAAAATCACTTTTGACTTATTAAATGAGGCCAGACTTTTTAACACAGAAAATTGGTTTTAGTGAAGAATTTCTAAAAACTATTAGTCTTAGTGATGTATGGGGGACATGGCACATTTGCATTTTTGTAACTTCTACCAGAAGTCTTAATTGGGTGGGTTGTGCTATTTTAGACATTAACCTATTGCAAGTTATTGGTCATTTAGAAAGATTGAAAAGCAGTTTGGGTAGTTATAGGAGCTAAAATGAATTTTAACTAATGAGTATTAGAATTTAGTAGGAGGCATAAATGCAGAATTTACCCGCTTTGGCTGCGTTCTAATTTCCATGTGTGGCTCGTGGACAGAGCCGGGTGCTGCCTGCACCAGAGGGGCACCTCCCACCACAGACAGAGCTCCACTTGCCTCAGCCTCTGAGCTCAGGAGCCTGTGGAGATGCCCCTTGACTTCTTCATAGCTGACTGTGTTGGACTTGACCAGAGCCTGTGCCCTTAGGATACCATTGTGGTGGGAAGCCCCAGGCTTCCACCTTCCGGGCCGACTTACTACAGAGAACCCCTTCTTTATAGGACTTAGACAGGACACCCCGTGCCCCCTGGTTTATCTGTGACAAGGCCAGGCTCAGATCCATGTACCCATGGACCAGTCTGGACCAAACCAAGCAGCCTCCTCCCCCAGGTCCCTGAGCTTTCATCCCTCTCAGCCCTCCAGAGGGGCCCCTCCTGGGAATCTGCAGACCCAGGAAAGTCACTCCCTGATTGCCATCCTGTCATGCCACCCAGTCCCCACATCTGAGCTGTCTAGTCCTGTTTACTCTCTCCCCCATAAGAGCAGAACCCTGCCCTGTGTGCCCCAGGGCTGCTGAATCTCAGTCTCCCTGTCACAACATCTTTTGAATGAAGTCTGTCCTTACCTAAATCCAGATTTGTTCTGACATATTTTGGTTTTTAATGGATAAAATGGAATGGATAGATGACCTAACTTCTTAATTAGGGTCATTGAAAGTATAAAACGAGAATAGACTCAAAAGAACAAAATAAGTAAGAAACAGCCAGAAAAGCAGAAGCCAACTGGGATGTCCCAGTGGGGCCTGCGGGGTCACTTGGCCTGGGACTGGCAGGTTGTCTGCTCTGCCCTGTGGTTTGGACACTGGGCATGGAAGAGCACGTCATGGGGCTCCTGGCTTATGTGTTTTCCTTCAAGTTCATTTAGTTCAGACAACGGTAGATTGTAAGGCAAATTTGTGATAAAATCAGAATCGTGATCATACAGTATTGGTGGCTAACATTACATGTTCCGTGTTTTTATTAGCTTTAAATTAGAGGATCTGTATTTAGCACGATCAATTTTGGAAATGTGGTAGATTCTGATTCTGTTTTCTATATTAACTGTTTATTACTATTTAAAATGCATTTCCTTAACTTTTTCACATTTTTATAAGTTTGGCACAAACTATGAAGACTCTGAGGCTAAGAAAGAACACGGTGAAATTTTCTTTATACAGGCACTTTACAAGTACTCTGATCTTTGCCGTGCTGGGTAAGTGTTGGACTTCGCTTATTATAGTAAGTTATGTCAGGGTTGCAGTTCCTTCAAAGGTGACTTTTTTGGTGTGTTTCAGCTTCTGTAGTGTTTATGGTGTGGACAACTAAGACATTTAGATTTGCAAAATGTCAATCAGTAAGTATAATCTTCCTATTTAAACAGTTTTCATTTTTAATTATACCATTATATTTTGTGTAATTTTGAAGAATTTAGTTTCTCTTTGTAAATAGAAGTAATTTCAGTGGAGATTTTGTGTTTACTTTGAATTATTTTGCATAGAATTATAAAAACTTTTGCCTCCTTTCAATGACTCTGAAAAAGTTCCTAAATCTGCTTTTCCAGCTACACCCTTTTCTCAATTTCCTTTTATATATTTTGAAAAATAATTCTCTGCTTATATAACTTAAGGTAACAGGAAATCTTTTTCTTTCTGTATCCCTGAACTTGGGCTCTTTGGTACCCAATGGGCCTCTATGCCTTCAGTCTGACGTGTCATTTATAATGTTAAACAGCCCTTTAGTAGCATCTCAAATAGTATATAATAACATCTATCACAGTAAAAACAGGTAACCTGCTGGGAAAAAGACTGCACTGAGATTTTTGCATCAGAGATTCTGATGTCATCAATGTCAAAAATACAGCAGCCCCCCTTATCCACGGGGAACATGTTCTAAGACCCCCCAGTGGACACCTGAAACCATGGCCAGTACCAAACCCTTATATATTATGTTTTCTCCTACACACACCTACCTGTGATAAAGTTTAATTTATAAAGTTTAATCTATTAATTTTTAAATTAGGCCCAGTAAGAGATTAACAACAATAACTAATAAAATAGAACAATATAACAATATAATGTAATAAAAGTTATGTGAATGTGGTCCTTCTCTCAAAGTTTCTTTTGAATTGTTTGTTTCTGGAATTTTCCATTCAATACTTTCGGACTGCATTTGACCACAGGAACTGAAACCATGGAAAGCGAAATCGTGGATAAGGGGTGATAAGTGACTGTACCCACTGTCAACTTGATTCTGATTCTGCTATTAACCTGCCTTATGACTGTTCTGGCCTAGAAAATAGACTAAATCACCTCTAAAGCTTTTTACACTCTAATTCTTTTTATGATACTATGCTATTTAATTTATGTTAGGATTTTATTCATCTAATTGTCTATAAGGCTGAAGTAAGCATTAATGTTGCTTTTATGAAGATCATTACTTAGTTTTCATTTTACTTGAAAAAATATGTGCTTATTTATTTGGAAGACTTACTGGTTGGAAAGATTTCATTAGTACTTGCCATTGTACATTATTTGAATCAAAAGTCTATGTGTTTATCAGAAAATTAACTTTTTCATGTCCTTATTGTAGGATTGGATGGAACGCTGGGTTGATAATGCATTTTGGAGCTTCCTGTTTTCACTCATCCTTATTGTAATAATGTTTTTGTGGAGACCATCAGCAAATAATCAGAGGTACCTAACATAGGAAAAGGCACATTTGGCAAGCATTTGTCGATCACCTGCTACCGTGCTAACCACATTTAGAGAGAGTGGGAAGTGGTCGTGCTTTTCAGGAGTGCTTAGTCAGGTGGGGAGACACACGTAACAAATGCCAGGCAGGGAAATGAGAGATGCATACATTGAGTGCATGGGCAGACAGAGGGTGGTGAAGAGGACTCTGTAAAGCAGCATTTATGTTTCGCCTTAAGGAAATTATGTTTCGCTTTAAGGAAAGAACAGGGCAGTGAAAGCCTGAGCAGAAGGAGTCCGTTTCCTGGGCTTTGGGGGACACGAGGTGTGCTCTGGAGGTCAAGGAAAGTAGGACCCAAATCGTGAAGAGCTTGAATGCCAAGTCCAGAAGATTGTGCTTTAGACCACATGTGATGAGGAGCCCCCACCTTTTATGCTCCATTTCTCTTCCCCAAGAAAAGCACTGTGAGGACAAAATGAAGAAGTACATACCAGTGTATGTGTTTATGTCTTCAAAAATGCACAACAATGATAATAATACATGCACACATACACGTATGCACTGTCCTGCACCTTCTTGTTCAGATGTATCCACGTTATCTGTATATCTGCCCATTATTTGTAATGGCTTCACAGCATTCCGTAGTATTAGTGTAGCCTCATTTCTGTGAGCATCCTAACATTAGATACTTTGTTTCTAGGCTCTTCCCTGTTATTGTCAGCAGTGTTTTCTGAATGTTATTGGACCTAGTACAGTGCCTCAGTCATGTGATGTATTTTCAGCAATCACACAGCAGGTTCTCCTTGGTTGGGGGATGAGTTCAAGGTCGTGGGCAGGGAGGTGGACCTGCTGTGGAGAGGGGTGCAGCAGGAAGCTGCCCCCGAGCATGACAGGCTGCAGGACTGCTCTCCAGACAGGTCTCCCCCATTTCCACTCTTACCAGCAAGGCTGGGGGCTCCCGCTGCAGTTTCTTCACAACAGCCTTTCTAATTTGAGAATAAAATAATTATGTTTTTGTTATTTTCATTTATGGGAAACTATAAATGTAGATGTTTTTTAATGCAATCACTGTTTTACATATAAGCTAAAACTTGGACAGGCTTAAATGCACTAGTAAAGCGACTTCTCGTTTTTGACGTAGGTATGCCTTCATGCCCTTAATTGATGATTCGGATGATGAAGTTGAAGAGTTCATGGTAACATCTGAAAATTTAAGTGAGTGATATGTTTGCTTATTGAGTTACTGACTGTTGTACATATTGTAACAAAGAAATGTTTTGTTTTGTTTTGGTTTTTTTTTTTAAGATTTTTATTGGGGAATTGGGGGGATGGGAACAGTGCTGGGGGATTGGGGAAGGGGAACAGACAAGTTGCTGTCGTTTTGTTCTTCAATCTAGTTGTGGAGGACGTTGCTTCACTTGCCCAAGTTGGCACCATCATTGCGCTCTTCCCTGGAGAGGCAGATCAGTCGCCGGCTTCTGGATGGCCGCTCACTGCAGCGGCTGGCCGCTCACGCTGGCTGCTGGCTGCACACGGTAGCCCATAGCAATCCATTGCCACAGGGGCTGCAGCCTACGCCGTGGCCAGCGACTCACGGCAGCCCAGCTCCAGGTTGAGCTGTTGTTCAGCATCTTAGCTGTGGAGGGCAGTGTTCACTGGCCCTCATATGTGGGATCCGAACCGGGGCCCTCTGGCATCCCAAGCGAGTTCTTAACCATCGCGCCACTTGGCCGGCCCCAAAGAAATGTTTTACCTTAACCTGTGATGCAAAGTCAGAGACTTTTTTTCCTATAAAATATTTTTTAAACTATATATATGCAAAAACCTCTATTATGGTAGATACAAGAAGAAAAGTCAGTAATGAAATTTTGAAGATTATTAATGTAGGTAGTTTGAGCTTTTGTGACTCGTTTGCTCTTAAAGTCTAAATATTGAAGTAGGCACAGTGATTTTCACAAGAGTGATTTGGTGTGTTTTGTGCTTTGCTCCTAAATAATATTCATCTTGATGATTGCTCAATTTTTTGGATCACCCCTTTAAAATTAGTAACATCTGTAATTTCCTGGCTATGCCCAAAGCATTTAGACAATGGTCTTAATGCTAATTTCATCTTTCTATTAGTTTCTACATAATATTTTATCATTTTATTAATTTTGCCATAATACTCTAATTAATCAGTATGTAACTCAGATGTTGAGAGTAATTTTATCTTTGTTTCATTCTGCCTTTGTCTTATTTTGGTTTCTCTTATTAGTAACATTCTTTTTTATAATTTTTTTTTTGTTCTCTGATTATCTGAATTACTGTGAAAATTTTATAATCTCCAATCAGCAAAAATTGCAGCTTAATCAATGTATCTTCAGTGTCCCCACTTTCTTTTACCTCTTCTCATCTTATTCTCACAATGAATCTTTCATGTTTCTCTGACTTTGCTATTAAGAAAGGAAACCTGAAATACTTATTCACAGCAAAAATCTATTAATTCATGTGTCAAGGTTCTGTTTCCATAGTGATGGAATGAATTAAATTGGACTAACCTTCCTGCCGATAGCTAGTATGAACTCTTGACAGAATTTTTGAATTTTTTTTTTAAGACTTTATTGGGGAATTGGGGGACGGGAACAGTGTTGGGCAATCGGGGAAGGGGAACAGACAAGTTGCTGTCCTTTTGTTCTTCAGTCTAGTTGTGGAGGACGTTGCTTCACTGGCCCATGTTGGTATTATCATTGCGCTCTTCCCTGGTGAGGCAAATTGGTAGCCGGCCAGTGGACAGCTGCTCACGGCAGTCCTTGGCAGCTCACGCTGGCTGCCAGCCACTCACACCCGCTGCCAGCCACTCACGGTAGCTTATGGCAGCCCACTGCAGCTCCACTGCAGCCTACGCTGTCACTGGCGACTCAACAGCAGCCCAGCTCCAGGTCGAGCTGTTGTTCACCATCTTAGCTGTAGAGGGCGCAGCATCACTGGCCCTCATGTGGAATCCGAACCAGGGCCCTGCTGCTCAGAGCTGGCATCCCAAGTCAACTCTTAACCTACGCGCCACTTGGCTGGCCCCAACAGAATATTTTTTTAATGAGCTGTTTGAGGCATGGAGAGCTTGAAGAGCTGATGGGAACTGGAGATATGACTGTTGAACGACGAGACACACCGCCTTAATACTTCCCAAAGGCACAGAGGTCTTGGCCAAGGGCTCGCCCAATCAGTGTGAGGGCACGGGGGCAGGAGCTCGGGTGCACAGGTGCAGGCTTACTGACGCAAGGAATCACAGTGAGGTTTGGGGCTGGAAGAATGCCCAAATGAAACCCGAAAAAGAGAGAGCCACAAAGGGAAACATTCCAGAAATCTGTGCTCGCTGAGTCTTACCTGATGCCTGAGCTGGGTGAGTGCAAAGTGAGATTCCAAGAGGCCATCCAGCTACGAATAGGACAGCCATTTTCAGCAGCTGCAGGTGCACAGCTTGAAATCCAGAGTCAAGCAGTTGAACATGCTTGGGTGAACACCGTGAGCTTCCCATAAAGCCCTGGGGGGGGCCACTTCTTGGACATAAAGACCACATTCTGGGACACTGACATCACCCTAGGACTAATGCATACTGAAATAAACCCCCAAATAAACCCTCAAAGCACGCTTGCACAAGATCAAAGTGATCCTGCAGTAACTTGATGCCTGCTATACGTCAGGTCCACACTTCCCAGAGGAAGACCGGGGAACCTGGAGCCTGTCTGGCACCATCCTCAGCGTCCATGTGCAATGATAAGCTGCTAGACAAGGGTGCAACTGGAAACAGTGACCCATAGTTAGTGGAGATGTAGAGGTGGCCCAGATATGACAGTTGGCAAGAAAGACTTTACAAACGACTATTACAAATATGTTCAAGAATCTACAGGAGTAGATTGCTGAAGACAAGGGAAATTTCAGGAGAGAGATGGAAACTAAAAAAAAGGGGGTGGGGGGAGGAAGAACCAAACTTTCCCGTAAAAAATGTATGTATTATTTTTTGTTGGGTTATTAGATGTGAGGCTACAAAGAAAAATATTATTTTATATATTTATCTCTATAATGTTTCTCATTTATAGCTGAAGGAATAAAATTAAGAACCTCGAAAACGGTTTCCAATGGAACAGCTAAAGCTGCTGCTTCTGATAACTTTGTGAGTAATGCACATGTTTAATAGTCTCAGTCTTGGTACTTGAGGAATTATACGCACCTCACAGCCATTGACCACAAGGAGGCCATTATTTACTCAGATTCTTTGTGTGAAACGAACGTTAGCAGTGGCAAGCCTGCTTATGTCCAACTGTCGCTTCTGCCCTTCCTGCCTCTCAGGCCTATTCTCACTCCAGCAGATGCCCTGGCACCTGGGAACTGATTAGAATGCAGACTCCCAGGCCCACCAAGTCTGAATCTCCTTCTTAACAGGACTCCGTAGCTGGGTCGTGTGCACATGGGGACCGAGAAGCTTTGTCGTAGTGAAAGCCTGCATTAACTTTTCAGCATTTCAGAGTGATTTTGAAGCCGTTTCAATAACATTTGTTACCTGTTGGGAACGGACTTCACTGTATATATTACCGATGCACTTAACAAAATTAACATTTTAAAAAACTGCACACTTAAAATGGTAAAACATAGGATAGAGATGAGTTTTAAAGTATTTTATGCATGTTATTTATGCATAAAAGTGATAATTATGAAAGTAAGCAAAATGGAAATGCTGATCATACAATTTTATATGGCTGTCTTATATATGTTGTGATTAATATGGTATAAAAATTCACGTATGCATGTGAGTTCTGACAGGACAGCACATGGTATATAAAAACAGTTTTATTTGCTGGATTTGGTAAATTCTCTAAATTTTATTTTTGGCAATTAGTAATTCTTTAAAATGTGTTTTTTGAGTAGTTTGATGGTAATTTAACTAAACTTTAAAAAAACTACAGTTTTAATTATCCAGTGTTAGAGCTTCTAAACTTTCAATTTGTTAAGGTATTTTCCTCTTACTTTAGGGATATCGTATCTCAGTTTATTTTAAAGCTCCTATCAAGGGAAAGCTTTTTCATTTCTCTAAGTTAAGTATAATCAGCTCTTGGTCAGAAGTTGGGGGCCTTGTTTCTCGTTGACTTATTTCTACTTGAGTCTCACTCAGAGAATTGGGGTTCTTATTAATACTGGCTCAGTGGCTTTGCCTCTCTCTCTTTCTCTTTCTAGATAAGCAAGACATATGTAGTGCTAGAACCAGAGTATCCCATGTAATTACTCCTAGAACCAGAGTATTCCATATAGCCAGATACACCACAAAGAAACATTCTAGTTTATTTTACATCATAAACCTAAATATTCCGTATACGTTTTATTTTTTCCCCAGTGAAATAAGCAAGTTTCTGTTTAAAAAAAAAATTACTCTAATTGACCTGCTTCCTTTCTTGTCTCCTGCAGAGAGGTGAGCATAAATACAAGTGATAGACATAAATAGGCTTTTGTTAAGTACCATAATCTTTTTCTTGTGAAAAATTATAAACTCATGATATGAAAACTTGAACAAATTAGGAGGCATATAATGAATGCTAGGAGTAAAAAATCAATACAAATCAATATTCTTGCTATTTTGTATTGTATAAATCCACTCTTTGTATTTTTACTGTGGTTTTTCAATACAAAAAGTGTAACACGCTGCACCTAAATCCAAATTTTTGTTTCTCTGCATGCTTGAGAAAATACTGGCATAATTTCTGTCCAGCATTAGTGCCAACTTCTTATGACATGTAAGAATTAAAGGAATGTTATGTACTGAATTTAATGCTTAAATTTAACATACATTTTATTTAAAAATTCTGCTTTCAGATGATATTAAGCAAATGCTAATATGTGAATATTTATTTCTACAGGATGAAGATTTGAAGTGGGTAGAAGAAAATATCCCTTCTGCCTTCACAGACATGTAAATATCCGGTTCAAGTTTGAATCTAAATGTAGGCTCATGTGTAAAGGGAGAAGTTCATGCTTTGTTGTGTGCTTCTCAGGCTTTCTAACCTCCATGTGTTTTTGTAGGCCCCCTTCCCTAGTGAATGACTGATTTACTTCACATCAAATTGCAAAGAAAACGCAGCCCTCCCTTGGTCTGTCTTTCTCCCCACTTTGTCAGCATACAAAAACTGTTTTAATGCCCGTAGCTTATTACCAACTTCAGCCTTTTCTGATCTGTTTATAGGATCAGACCCATTTCTTTTGTTTTAACTTTCTATCATGGAAAAGTTCAAACACATGTAAAACACTTTTCTTTAACACATGTAACCACAATAGCATTTATGATGGGGAAGCTTTTGGAGGAAAAACATGAGCATAGGAAAAACAGGGTGCAGAGAAAGCCTGTCTGAGAACTTTGGGCTCTTCAGGGTCTTCTTTATCAGCATTCTCTTTGACACTAGAATTCCAGGTGGCTATTTCCACAGTGGAAAGCAGTCAGGATAGCCAGATAGGATAACGTTTTCACATGTTGTTTCTAACTTTCCCTGCTCCCACTTGCTTCCCACCTGCTCCCACTGTTTAGACAGTTCCTGTCTAGGATGATACTCTGATTACGTGAAGAATTCCCTTTATAGTAGTACAGGTATCCTGGCAGTGATCTCTCAGATTTCATTTGTCTGAAGAAGTCTTTATTTCAGCTTTTTTTGAAGAGTGTTTTGCTGGGTATACAATTCTTAATTAACAGTTGTTTTTTTTCAACACTTCAAAGATTGTCACTTGAATGTCTTTCAGCTTTCATAGTTTCAGAAAGAAGTCTGGTTTAGTTCTTTGTTCCTCAAATGTTACGTGGGTTTTATTTGTGGTTTTTGTTTTGTTATATATTTTGGCTGCCTCCAGGATTTTCTCTCTTATCTTAGGTTTTCGTCACTATCAATTTGATGATTCTAGGCATGTGTGTGGACGTATATTTTCATTTCTCTTGGGTATACACCTAAAAATGGAATTGTTAGTATGGTAACTGTATGTTTAACATTTTGAGGACATGCCAAACTGTTTTCCAAGCAGCTGCACCATTTTTAATCCTATCAGTAACATGGGGCTTCCAGTTTCTCTACATCCTTGCCAACCCATTGGTTACCTTTTTTATTTTAGCTCTCTTAGTGGCTATGAATCAGTATCTCATTGTGTTTTTGAGTAACTGAAATTTGAACTGTTTTGTGGAGGGCCTCGTGTTATTTAACTGAACTACAGTAGCTGAAATTCACACACATCAGATTCACGCAAAGTGAGGACTGCCTATACATTATGAAAGTAACAATACACTTACATTTTTACTTTTAATAGAAAAGGAAAATAGGTGCATATGTATTATTTCATATTTACCTGTGCATTTACTAGTACTTCTTTTCTTCCTGTATATCCAACCTATCACCATCTCCTGTAGAGCTTTCTTTAGTATTTCTTATAGTATAGCTCTGCTGCAAACAGATTCTCCTAAATTCATTTATATGAAAATGTATTTGTTTGGCCTTTTTTTAAGGATAGTTTTTGCTGGATATAAATATCTTGACTGACTTTTGTTTGAGCTCTTCCAACATGTACTTCTGGTACCTTCTTGTTTCTGTTGTTTTTGGAGAAAAGTCAGCCATTAGTTGTATTCTTGTTTTCATGTGTCACTTATTTTGCTGATTTTCAGATTTCCCTAGTATTTGGCTTCCCACAGTGTGTGTGGTGTGTCTCAGTGTGCTTTTCTTTGTGCGTGTTCTTGGAATTTGTTGCGCTACTTGGATCTATATTCACATTTTTTAGTGCCTTCAACTACTTATTTTTAATATTTTTGTCCAGGTTTATAAATGTTTCTGTGGGAGGAACCATCTGACCTCTCTATGTTTCCTTCTTTTTTTTGTTTTTTTAAAGATTTTATTGGGGAATTGGGGGAGGGGAACAGCGTTGGGGAATCAGAGAAGGGGAACAGACAAGTTGCTGTCCTTTCGTTCTTCAGTCTAGTTGTGGAGGATGTTGCTTCACTGGCCCGTGTTGGTATTATCGTTGCGCTCTTCCCAAGTGAGGCAGTTGCTCGCTGGCCATTGGACGGCGGCTCACGGCAGCTCACAAAAGCTCATGCCCGCTGCCAGCCAGCCCCACTGCAGCCTACGCCGTTGCTGGCAACTCACAGCAGCCCAGCTCCAGGTCAAGCTGTTGTTCACCATCTTAGCTGTAGAGGGCGCAGCGTCAACTGTTCCTCATGTGGGATCTGAACTAAGACCCTGCTGCTCAGAGCTGGCGTCCCAAGCCAGTTCTTAACCAGCACACTACTCGGCCAGCCCTCAACCTTTCCTTCTGTCTTCCATTTTTACCAGTTTCTCTGTGACCCTTCTTTCTTTACATCATTTTCATTCTCTTAGTTGTTTTCCTGCCAGCTATTGAATTTTTACTTAAATTTATTGTCCCTTGAACACTTTGCAATTTTTTTATTTATTCCTGGGATAATTTTTGTCCTTTTCTTTATTTTCCTGAGTTTGATTGACTCTTTGATGTTCTTCCCCTTTTGTTCTTATCCATTTTTGTTCTTGGTTTTTAAATTTCTTATTATGGATTGTTTTTAAAATCACCAAATGTTCTTTTTATCTTATTTAATTTGGAAAGTTGTGCTATAACCAAAGCTTTCTTCTACTGTAAAATGTTTTGATTTTCATTTTCCTTTCTTTTTTTTCTGCACCATTCTATGGAATTGATTTTGTTTGTCCTACTCCTAGGCATTCTGTCGTGAGAGTTCCTAATTTGAGTGCTTTCTTCTTTCAGTTTGCAATAATTATAGTTTCATTTATGGATAATGTGGTGGGATGGGTGATGGGGAGAGGGGAAGGTTGATGTTGTCTTATTTTTCTTTTATTGCCTCCTCCTTTTTATTTTCTGTGCCATCGCGTCTCCAGGGGACACTGCCCCTCTATGTACCTGGCTGTCCCCTGAAAACTATGACTGTTCAAGCTGCTGCTTCTGGCTCCGCTCACTTTAAGCCCTTTCCCCATGGCAGGTGTGACCTGTGCTTCGGTGTTTCTGTGCTTGGTGTTGGATTTTGTGCAGAGGCTGGTCTTGGCTGTGCCTTGGCTGGCCTGCCCCCAACTCTGCTCTTCACAGTCCCTGAAGCGCTTCCCCATTCTGTGCTTGGGAGCTGCAATGACAGCAGGCATCTGTCACATTAGCATTTTCCTCTACTTCCATATAGTCTCACGTTTGTGGCGTTCTTCTGGAAATGCTGGAGACTACGAGCTGGTGTGGTTTTGTTTGCAGTCGTTGAGGGCCTGTGGGTTTTGAGTCAGGACGTGTGGAGAGGTTCAGATTAGGCGGCAACCACTGTCTTCCAGATTTGGCAGCTCGGTACTGAGCTCTCAGAAGGAAACTATCTCAGCAAACTCCCGGCTTCTTGGTGGGAAGCAGTAAGGCTCCTTCTGGACAGTTCTCTTTATGTCTTAGAAAGTCATCCCTCTTCTTCATGTAAATAGAAATATTTTGACTACAAAGATTCTCTGGAATGTAAAAGACAGGAATGCCTCATTTTACGTTCTCACAAACCATTTATGTAAAATGGGTAAAACCCAAGTTTTTTGTAAAACCCAAGTTTCCACCATTTTATGTTCTTGGGAACTGGTGTGTGTTCAGTTCTGAAAACTAACACAAGAAATTTCACACATGCTCTCCCAATTAGTGTACAATTTACATCGCAAGTTTAGAAGTCAGACTTCATATACAGATAAACCTTTTTTTTACACATCTGTAAAAATGGAGCAGAAATTTTGCAAGTTGTGGGATGGTTTAAACATAATGAGTAAACATATGGTTTGGTGCATTATGGGATGCTCATGTGAATTCATTATGGCGTCTCCTTATCTCTAATAAGCCATAAAGTTTGGCTTAGCAAAGTTCCCCTTCCTGGTTTACTTCTAGTAAATGGTAACAAAGACCTGAGAATTAAACAAGTACCTGATGCCATAAATACCAGCTTTCATACATGTTTGCTCATCCCTCTTTTATAATATGTATGCGTTTATTTTAATAAGCATGGTGTATATTCCAGTATGATAATCTGATATCCATGAGCACAGTGAAGTGACAACTAAAGTCAAGCTGACTCATCCCTGAGTTGTCACAAAGCACATGACATGGGGCTTCCAGTGGAGAGCACATCACCACCCAGGTCCTAACCCCTGCTCTCCAGAGAAGTAGCAGTGCACAGGCAGTGAAGTGGGCTGGGATCGACTGTGTTTGGTCCCTCCTCCGACCGGTCCCGTCATTCGTCCCTCCCAACCTGTCAGCCTCTAGCATTGCTGACCTAGCTTTCTTTGTATTCTTATTTCCACTTCGTAGTAATGATTATTTTTATAACTGGAATTTTTTGGAGTCTAGCACACATTTTGGAAAGTACACACATTCTAAATAAGTTCATAGCTCAGTAAATTTTTAATATGGGCACACTTGTGTGACCAGCACCCAGATGAAAAAACTGGAACTTTGCTTGTGCCCCAAGACCCACCTGTTTTCCTCCCAGGCCATGACCCCACTCCCCCAAAGGTGCTACTGCCTGTACTCATAGATCATTATGTCGGTTTTTAAATTTTATCCCTTAAGAGGCCACACTGTGTTTGGCCCTTCTATTGTATGAGCATACCACGGTTTGCCTGCTCTGGCCTTCTGAGAACAGCACCGCTATGAGCCCGGGTGCATTTCTACAGCCACGTGTTCAGGACACGGGGTGGCAGGTCATGGGGCATGCTCACACTCAGCTTTGTAGCTGCACCAGTCCTTGTTAACACTATGACTTTCTGCCTCTGTTTCAGGGCTCTTCCAGCGCTGGATTCAGATGAGGTAGAGCACATTTTGCTTCCTTCCTATTTACTTCCTTGGAGCTGTTTTCACAAAGTAGAAATGCATTTCAGAAAGAAAATGAGTTACTTTTTAGAATGAGCACAGATCACACAGGCCAAAAGATGGCACTGATTCGTGGGTGAAGTTCAGAGGCACAGAGTCCTCATTTAAACCTGGTGTAAAAGAAGGGAAGAGTTGTTTTTTGACAGTTTGAGCCTGACTGGGTAGAGTTTAGAAAATGGCAGTTTGTCTAAATTAATGTCATACTTATAAATACTTTGCTGGGGTGTTAAATAGAGTTTCTAAGTGACTTTCATTCACTAAGTAGGAAATTTGAATACAGGGTGGAGATTTAGGAAAGTTTTGGGGGGAAATTGAGTTCTGGGTCACCGGGACATTGAAGGGTAGCACAGAAGGTAGGAGTGTGACGTGTAAAGGACAGATGTGAGACCTGAGCTTATGTGACGAGGGCGACAGTGACGGCTACATGACCAGACGCAGCCATCTGTCACTGAAGGGCTAGGCTGGTGACTTGGCAGCAGCCTGGTGACAGACTGTCATGGGCCAGGACATTGGAGAGGCTGCAGCGCACACGTACGTGGGCACAACACCGTCGCACGTCAGGCTCCACAAGTCTGCATGAAATGACCCTTCCAAGGGTGCTACGGTGTTCATGTGATAAGTCACCGACTTATCATTTCAAGAGGACGTGGAGTAGTCAAGTGAGGCCCACCCCAGGTGATTCGGAACTTGGGATGTGTCCTAGCTAGTGGGGCACCCACGTCCCCTCAACCCTCAGCAGGCAAGCGGTTGCACATTCCAGGATGTGCATGTCGGATGGTTTTAGTTTCCGCATCCAGGCCACACTGCAAATTCTGGAATACACTCAGTTCCCCTCAAAGTCGTGTCTGTTGAAAGACTAGAGAACTTTGTTAGGTTCTGGAAACATGGCCATTTTGATGACCATTTTCTTTCTTTTTAGGAAATCATGACCAGATCTGAAATGGCACAGAAAATGTTCTCTTCAGAAAAGATAATGTGATTTGGAACCACATGAATGAGACCTAATTAACAGTGAAGGACTTTCCAAGTCTAAGAGACTTGTTCTGATATCATGCGGCAAGTTTTTGTTGCATTGTCTTGGAAATCTGTGTGTTAAAAAGAATCGTGCAGAAGTGGGAGGGTTCTGCAGCCCTCTTCAAGCTGACTTGTGAATGTCCGTTGAGTTGCCTGGACTTGGAAATAACCTGAGCAAACCAGGTGTTATGACAAAGAATGTGCCCCAATGGGCGTCAGGCATGTGGGTTGGGTTGTCTCTTTTTCCTGGAAAATGTGGTCATTCCAGATTTAAACCTTTTCTTTACATAAACACTTCCTGTTCTTCCACGGACCTCTGAGGTAGATGGAGTGACTGCTGAAGCGTGGTCGAGCAGTGTGTCCCTGCCTTGGGTTTAGAGTCACCACATGCAGTAGTAACTTCCTTTTTTTCTGCTGAAGTTCATTGGAACATGGCATGTACATGTGGCCAGTTGCTGTGTGGGGGACATTGCACACATCTGACAGAGCCATTTGTCCTTGTCACCCTGCACATCAGACCCACTGCCTGAGCTCAGGGGACACGGGTACATGGAGAGAGGGTCTTGAGAGTCACTTCCAAAGATTTGCTCTGCCACTGTCCCCTCGCTCAGGCTATCTATGCTGCTGAACTGCCTGCAGGTGGTGAGCACCTGGCCACATGGCTCCCCCAGGGCACCTCCTGCCGACAAGCTGGGGCTTCTGGGGGAAACCAGAGACTTACCTCTTGTGTAATCTTGGTGTCTTTGATTTTGTAATAAAACATTTAACTGTACGGGACATCACTGTTCATAATGTAATTAATTTCTTAACCTTCAACCATGTTTTATACATTATTTTGTTACATTATAATGTGTGATTTCAAATTTTTGTTTTAATTTTTTTTATTGCAGAACATTCTAAACTTGAAAGGCAGTCAAATGTGGTATGGAAATGTGAATGTTTGCTGTGTTCGTGACCAAAGATACAGGGCTGGTGGGCATTTAGAGGAGGGATTAAGGCGACAACCATGGATGTCTTTCTTTGAAAGAGTTCTAACCTTATCAGTTGACAATGACTTCAGAGAATTCTGATTGAGAAGTATTAAGTCTTTACCAGTGTAGACACTTAAATACAACCTTTTATTTTTTTCATTGTGAAACCACAAAACAAAATTTGTCTTTCAAAATTCTTCCTTTGGAATTTATTTCTCATTTACCCATTTCACAGGAGCTAGGGAAAGAAAAGATTTCTCTCTAATAGTAGTGTCTCTTGAAAAATACTTTCAGGTTTACTTTCATAGTGAATATTGCACAGTGTCATACTGAGAGCATGGTGGTCACGATGCCGGTGCTCCCCCTCCCACGAGAGGAACGTCTGATTTCACAGTGTGGGCTCCATGCCTTGTGTGGCCCCTGCCACCATCCTGGGCCGCATCTTTTACACTTCCCAGCATCCATGTCCGTTCTGGTGTTGGTGCCTTTTCCCTTGGTCCCAGTGTCTCAACCCGGAGGTGACCACTGTCCTCCCATTCCGAACAGTTTTATCTAATGCCACTGCCTGGATTTCAGGGCACATTCACCCCCAATGCCTCTGGTCCTAGTTCAGTTTTAGCAACTGCCACCTAGTGGGGTGGCGTGGGGACCGACGGGCTGTCCCCGCCGTGGCCTCAGCAGTGTTGATCGAAGCCCTGCTCTGTGCAGCTGCAAAGGGAGTGGTGGCACCTGGTTGGCCAGGCTGCTGCTGAAAGGCAGGCTGTCCTCGCGTGCAGGAAGCAGGGCCCCTCCCAGAGGGAGGCCTGTCAGAATGTTTTCCAAGGGCATGCACTGTGTCTGTCACTGTTGATATGGCCTGGCTCGAGGATTCCCGTGGAGGGCACCTGGGGCTGAGTGTGGTTCATCACGACGTAACAGCCAGGGCCACTGTGCAGCTGTCCTGCTTCTGCTCAGAGGTTCCAGAGACTGCTCATCAAGGTCAGACCGATTGATTCTTAGAAACCACCAAGATGGGTCTCCTATTAACGAAGGGATCTGGCTGGGGACAAGGGTCCAGCTTTATGTGTTTCTAGGCCAAAATGCTTAAGTGTTCTTATGCAGTTCATATTGCGCTTATATGATGTGTGAAATTTGCTTAAAAGGGAATTTTCATGATTTGAGTTAGATTAGTATTAGTATCTGCTTTAAAGGATAAAGTTAATTTATTTCAAAAATAAGAGAAAGCAAATGAATATGTGAAGTTTTTAAACCCGGGAGATGATAAGCTGTTCTCATACTTTTCCTGTAAAGAAAATAATTTTTTAATCCTTCATAATCTGTGGAGAATACCAGCCTTCTCCCTGTAACACAGTACATTATGTTTGCACTACTGTCATGTCAAGACTAAAAGTATAAAAAATATACAGATAAGGTTGATCTATATTTCCTTTTTTAAAAGAGGTTTGAGTCTGTACTTGACAGGTTTAAAGTTGAGAGATGTGATGCTAACTTTATAATAAGTCACTAATTTTGGTACTTGTGTCTGTATGATCAACAGTATACAGTACGAAACACCAGGCCTTATACTGGTAATTAAAGTTCTAAACATGTCACATGTATGTAAGTGACAAATGAGACTTAAGGAAATGTACATTATAATACAGGAGCTTTCTGCTGCAGTAAGAAACTCCTTTGGAATGAGGAAAACATGTATTTGGGGAGAAAGTTTAGGGCTGAAGTTGTATTTTTCTATTTAAAATGGTTAAATTATTGTATAACTTGGAAGAAGTTCCTTTGAATGTGGGACAAAACTATTTCAAAGATTTTTGTTTGAAAATATTGATGTATTTTGTGCCTTAATATTTGTTCTGACTTTTAAAATAAGATTTTCATTAAAATATAACTAACATGCAATATTATATTAGTTTCAGGTGTGCACTACAGTTATTCAATATTTATATACCTAAAGAAGTGATCACCATAAGTCCAGCAACCACCTGACTACATACATAGCTATCACAATATTACTGACTATATTCCTTATGCTGTACATTACGTCCCCATGACTACTGTGTAACAACCAATTTGTGCTTCTGAATCCCTTCCCCTTTTTCACCCACCTCCCCCAATCTCCCTCTCATTTGACAACCATCAAAATGTTCTCTGTGTCTATGAGTTTATGTTTTGTTTGCTTATTTTGTTCTTTATATTCCACGTATAAGCAAAATCACATTTCATCTGTCTTTCTCTGTCTGACATACTCTACTCAGCACAATACCCTCCAGGTCCATCCGTGCTGCTGCAAATGGCAAGAACCCACTCCCTTCCCAGGCCAAGCAATATTCCATTGTATAGATGTACCACCTACTCTTTATCCATTCATCTATTTATGGGCACTTAGGTTGCTCTGATATCTTGGCCATTGTAAACAATGCTGCAATGAACATATGGATGCACACATCCCCTTGAAGTAGTGTTTGGGTTTCTTTGGATGAATACCCTGAAGTGGGATTATTGGGTCCTTTGCTACTTGTTATAGCCTTTTTTTGAAGTCTTTTGTCTGGTATAAGTATTGCTATCCCAGCTTTTTTTTGTTGTTTTGTATTTTGTTTCCATTTTCATGAAATATCTTTTTCCATCCCCTTTCACCCTGTGTGTTTCTTTCAATCTGAAGTAATTATCTTGTAGGCTTCATATGTAAGGGTCTTGTTTTCTTATCCATTTAGCCCTCCTGTCTTTTGAGTGGATCATTTAATCAATTTACATTGAAAGTAATTATTATTTTTTTAAAGATTTTATTGGGGAATTGGGAGAGGGGAACAGTGCTGGGGAATCGGGGGAAAGGGAACAGACAAGTTGCTGTTGTTTTGTTCAGTCTAGTTGTGGAGGATGTTGCTTCATTGGCCCAAGCTGGCACCATCATTGTGCTCTTCCCAGGCGAGGCAGATCAGTCGCCGGCCTCTGGACGGCCGCTCACTGCGGCTGCTGGCCGCTCACAATGGCTGCCGGCTACACACAGTGGCTTATGGCAGCCCGCTGCAGCCCAACCCCAGGTCGAGCTGCCGTTAACCATCTTAGCTGCAGAGGGCAGTGTCACTGGCCCTAATATGTGGGATCCGAATCGGGGCCCTCTGGCATCCCAAGCCAGTTCTTAACCAACACGCCACTCGGCCGGGCCTGAAAGTAATTATTGATAGATATGTAGCTATTGCCATTTTATTATAATTTTGATCTTTTTTTCCATATTAAAAAATGTCCCTCTAACATTCCTTGTAATACTGGTTTGGTGTTGATGAACTCCTTTAGCTTTTTCTTATCTGGGAAGCTCTTTATCTGTCCTTCAAATTCTAAATGATAGCTTTGCTGGATAGAGTAATCTTGGTTGTAGATCCTTGCTTCTTATCACATTGAATATTCATGCCAGTCCCTTCTGGCCTGCAAAGTTTCTGTTGAGAAATCAGCTGACAATCTTATGGAAGCTCCTCTACAAGTTACTGTTGGGTTGTCGGAAAAGTCATAACATTTTTTTTCTGTTTTTTGTTGCAAAAATGCATCATGACTTTTCCAACAACCCAATACTTGCTTTTCTCTTGTTGCTTTTAGGATTCTCTCCTTGTCTTTAACCTTTGCCATTTTAATTATAGTGTCTTGGTGTGGCCCTGTTTGGGTTCATTTTGTTTGGAACTCTCTGGGCATGTATATGTGTTTCTTTTGCCAGATTAGGAAAGTTTTCAGTCATTATTTCTTCAAATAGCTTCTCAATCCCTTGCACTGTCTCTTCTCCTTCTGGTACTCCTGTGATGTGACTGTTATTACACTTGATGTTATCCCAGAGGCCTCTTAAACTGTCCTCTTTTTTTATTTTTTTCCTTTTGCTCTTCTGAATGGGTGTTTTCTGCTACCTCCAAAACGCTGATTCTAGCCTTTGCTTCATCTCGTCTGCTGGTGATTCCTTCTAGTGCATTCTTCATTTCAGTTATTTATTCTTCACTTCTGCTTTTTTTTTTATGGTTTCTATGTCCTTTTTTATATTTGCTCTCTCGTTGTTGAAGTTCTAAGTTCCTTGAGCATCTTTATAACCATTATTTTGAACTCTGTATCTGGTAGATTGCTTGCCTCCATTTCATTTAACTTTTTCTGGAGTTTTCTCCTGTTCTTTAATTTGGGACATATTTCTTTGTTTCCTCATTTTGGCTGTCTCTCTGTGTTTGTTTCTATGTATTAGGTAGATCTGCCATGTCTCCAAGTCTTGGCCAAGTGGTTTTATGTAGTAGGTGCCCTGTGGGACCCTGGCGCAGTCTCCCTGGTCACCTGGTCCACGTGCCTCAGGAATGTCCCTTGTGTGGGTTGTGTGTGCCCTTCTGTTATAGTTGAGCCTTGATTGCTATTGGCATGTTAATGGGTGGGATTGACCCTCAAGCTGACTTGCTGTGGGGTTTGGCCATATCCACAGCTTACAGGCTGCTGTGTGGGGATTTTACTCCCCTGATCAGGATTCCCACCCCACCCCCCACAATGGGCTCTGGTACCTGTTGAGACAGCCCTTTGGGTGTGCCACTTGTGGGGCTCTGCTGGGGTCTGAGCCAACCTCCAGGCATGTTGGTTATGGGGCCTTGTGAGAGGGGCTCTGGCATAGGCCCAGGTCACCCACTGCTTGTGACTGGGGACTGCCTGGTAGAAGCTACAAAGCAACCTGCAGCTGTTCACTGCCTGTGCTAAACCTAAAGGCGCGTGGGAGAGGCCATGCTACAAACTGAAGACATCTGCCACCAGTACCAGGCCTGGGGTAGCTCCACAAAAAGCTAGGACACCCTGAGGCCTGCTGCCACCTGCCGGCTCCCTTAAGGTTCAGCTGCTCATAGAGCCTCATGCTCTGTCAGCAGCTAGAGTGGGAAGAGTTGTGGTCACCAGGTTAATGTAGACTGGTTTGGTGCCAGTGCTGATCCTGAAGCTACTCAGCAAAAGACTCAGAGCACACCAAGGCCAGTGCGACCCACCTGGGGTCCATGGACTCCAATAGTTTTCTAAGGAAGTGCAATGCAGTCAGGGCTGGCATCTGACAGAGAAGTGCCTCTGGTGTTGGAGGAGTTGTGTCAGGCAGGCTCCCAGGGATCAGCAGGATGAAGCTCTGAGCTCACCAGACCAATCAGATTCAGATTTGGTCATAAGCATAGGAGGGAGTCTCAACACAGGCAACATGGCTCCCGCCTGCTGGCTGCACAGGAGGAGGACTTCTCACAGGGAAAATGCCAACTGCCCTCCAGCTCTCCTCTCAAAGCCACACAACTCAGTCTGCTCCCTGTATGTCTCCAACACTCCCCAAGTCACCGTCCCTCCACTCTTGCCCAAGGTGAGCACCTATGAGTGAGAATCTGCTCAGACCATCTAAGAGGATGTCTGGGTTTCCCACAGCCTTCCATCCTACCCAGACTTGTTAGAATCCCCACTTTTTCACAGCCAGGTATTTTGGGGTCTCCTTTTCCCAGCACCAGTACTCTGGGTTGGGGAGCCTGGTGTGGGGGGCTGCAGTCCCTTGCTCTGCCGGGGGTGGGAGGAACTTCTGCAGTCAAGCTATTCCTCCTGATTCTCAGCCACCACACGGAGGTTCGGGGCTGGCCTGTTTTGCATCTCCACCCCTCCTACCAGTCTTGATGTGGCTTTTTTTTTTTATATATAGAATTTATTGGGGAATTGGGGGAGGGGGAACAGACAAGTTGCTGTCGTTTTGTTCTTCAGTCTAGTTGTGGAGAACACTGCTTCACTGGCCCATGTTGGTATTATCATTGTGCTCTTCCCAAATGAGGCAGATCGATCACTAGCCTCTGGACAGCCGTTCACGGCAGCTCTTGGCAGCTCATGCCGGCTGCCAGCCACTCGCGCTGGCTGCCAGCCACTCACGGTAGCTCAGGACAGCCCACCGCAGCAGGGGCTGCAGCCTACAGTGTCACCGGTGACTCGTGGCAGCCCAACTCCAGGTTGAGCTGTTGTTCATCTTAGCTGTAGAGGGCAGTGTCACTGGCCCTCATATGTGGGATCCGAACTGGGGCCCTGCTGCTCAGAGCTGGCGTCCCAAACCAGCTCTTAACCAACGTGCCACTTGGCTGGCCCTGTGGCTTCTTTTTTTTTTTTAAGATTTTTTTATTGGGGAATTGGGGGATGGGAACAGCGCTGGGGAATTAGGGGAAGGGGAACAGACAAATTGCTGTTTGTTTGTTTTTTGTTCTTCAGTCTAATTGTGGAGGACGTCGCTTAACTGGCCCAAGTTGGCACCATCATTGCACTCTTCCC